CCCGTTTTTCACCAGTGCCCGTTTCTCCGTCCCGCAGCCGCATGTGAAGCATGCCGCGGCAGGGCCGCCTGGCGCTGCTGGGCGCGGCGCTGCTGCTGGCGTGGCACGGGCTGCTGCTGCTGCTGCTGCGGGGCCGCGCCGCGCCGCCGCCGCCGCTGCCGGCGCAGCTGCTGCGCCTGGCGCAGGACGCCGAGGCCGAGCTGCGGCTGCAGCGCGACCTGCTGCTGCAGATCCAGCGCCTGGGCCGCCCGCGCCGCCGCGGCGCGCCGGAACCCTCCGGAAGCGCGCCGAAACCCGCCCGCGGCACCGCCGAGCCGCCGGTGATCCCGGTGCTGGTGCTGGCCTGCGACCGCAGCTCGGTGCGGCGCTGCCTGGACAAGCTCCTGCGCTACCGGCCCAGCGCCCGGCGCTTCCCGGTGATCGTGTCGCAGGACTGCGGCCACGCCGAGACGGCGGCCGTCATCGCCTCCTACGGCGCCGCCGTGGCGCACATCCGGCAGCCCGAGCTCGCCGACGTGCCGGTGCCGCCGGAGCACCGCAAGTTCCAGGGCTACTACCGCATCGCGCGGCACTACCGCTGGGCGCTGGGCCAGGTGTTCCGCACCTTCCGCTACCGCGCCGCCATCGTGGTGGAGGACGACTTGGAGGTGGCGCCGGATTTCTTCGAGTACTTCCAGGCGGTGCTGCCGCTGCTGCGCGAGGACCCCACGCTGTGGTGCGCCTCGGCGTGGAACGACAACGGCAAGGCGGCGCTGGTGGACGCCGGGCGCGCCGAGCTGCTCTACCGCACCGACTTCTTCCCCGGCTTGGGCTGGCTGCTGCTGGCCGAGCTCTGGGACGAGCTGGAGCCCAAGTGGCCGCCGGCGTTCTGGGACGACTGGATGAGGCGGCCGGAGCAGCGGCGCGGCCGCGCCTGCGTCCGGCCCGAGGTGTCCAGGACGATGACGTTCGGCCGCAAGGGCGTCAGCCACGGCCAGTTCTTCGACCAGTACCTGAAGTTCATCAAACTCAACGACCGCTTCGTGCCTTTCACCCAGCTGGACCTGTCCTACCTCAAGCGCGACGCCTACGAGCGCTCCTTCCTGCCGCAGGTGTACGGCGCGCCCGAGGTGGGCCTGGAGCAGCTCCGCGACGAGCCGGCGCCGGGCCCGGGCCCCGTGCGCCTCCAGTACCGCGGCCGCGACTCCTTCAAGGCCTTGGCCAAGGCCTTGGGCCTCATGGACGACCTCAAGTCCGGCGTCCCCCGCGGCGGCTACCGCGGCGTGGTCAGCCTGGTGTGCCGCGGCCGCCGCGTCTTCCTGGCGCCGCCCTCGGACTGGACGGGCTACGACCCCTCCTGGAGCTGAGCGCGGCTTCCGGGGGGTTTTGGGGGGTTTTTGGGGGGGTTCGTTGGGTTTGTGTTGGGGTTTGGGGGCGTTTTTGCAGAATAAAAGGATGAGAAGCGCTGCACGGGAGGAACGGCGTTGTCGCCTCTGAATTCTGCGTTGTCGCCGTTCCCATCGAGTTAAAAATTGTTAAAATTGGTAAAATTGTTAAAATTGGTTAAATTCTAAATTCCAGTGGTCTAAAAGCAACTTTTAGGGCTAAATTTGGGGTTTTTTGCAGAATAAAAGGATGAGAAACGCTGCATGGGAGGAACAGCGTTGTCCCCTCTGAATTCTGCATCGCCGCCGTTACCATCGAGTTAAAAATTGGTTAAATTGGTTAAATTCAAATTCCAGTGTTTGAAAAACATTTCTAGGGCTAAATTTGGGATTTTTTTGGGGTTTTTGCAGAATAAAACAATGAGAAACGCTGCACGGGAGGAACGGCGTTGTCCCCTCTGAATTCTGCGTTGCCGCCGTTCCCATCGAGTTAAAAATTGTTAAAATTGGTAAAATTGGTTAAATTCAAATACCAGTGGTCTAAAAGCAACTTTTAGGGCTAAATTTGGGGGTTTTTTGGGGTTTTTGCAGAATAAAACAATGAGAAACGCTGCACGGGAGGAACGGCGTTGTCGCCTCTGAATTCTGCGTCACCGCTGTTCCCATCGAGTTAAAAATTGTTAAAATTGGTTAAATTCAAATACCAGTGGTCTAAAAGCAACTTTTAGGGCTAAATTTGGGGTTTTTTTGGGGAGGCTCGTGGGGTTCTCGGGAGTCGGACACGGGGCAGGAATTTCAGGAGGAAATTCCCAAATTTTGGCAACCCCAGGGTTGGGAACAGCCCGGGGCTCGGTGCCGCTCTCAGCTCCATCCATCAACGATTCCTTGGGATTTTGGGAACATTTTGGGACATTCCAGAACGTTCCAGCCCCGCTGGGTTCCTCTCCATGAGGGTCCCACCCCAACCCCGAGGCATCAAATCACGACGCCGCTTTCCTAAAAATCCCAATTCCGCTTTATTTCGCCTCGTTTTGGAGCAGGGACGGGAATTGGGGGAGGAAACGCGGGATTGAGACACGGAACGTCCGGAAAAACACGATCCAGCTGGAGGAACCCTCGGAGGAACGGAGGAACCCTGGCTCCAGCACCTCCACCTCACAAACTGGAATTTTTTTGGTGGTGGAAACTAAAAAAAAACTTTTTGGCCTCGAAAAGTTGCGTTGGATGTTCAGGAGCATCTTCATCCCTGAGGTGGGCACCCAAAATCCATCAATCCTTGAGGTGGACACCCAAAATTTGTTCTTCAACATCTGAGGTGGGCACCCAAAATCCATCAATGCCTGGCGCTGGCACCCAAATTCAATCCATCGATCCCTGAGGTGGGCGCCCAAAATTTGTCCATCAATCCTTGAGGTGGGCACCCAAAATTTCTTCTTCAACATCTGAGATGGGCACCCAAAATTTGTCCTTTCATCCCTGAGTTGGGCAGCCAAATCCCACCAATCCCTGATGTGGACACCCAAAATTTGTCCATCCCTGAGTTGGGCACCCAAAATTTGTCCACCAATCCCTGGGATGGGCTCCTAAATTCCACCAGTCCCTGCGGTGGGCACCCAAAATTTGATCCATCAATCCCTGAGTTGGGCACCCAAATCCCACTGGTCCCTGATGTGGACACCCAAAATTTGTCCAATCCCTGATGTGGGAATCCGAAATTTGTCCAATCCATGAGTTGGGCGCCCAAATCCCACCAATTCCTGAGGTGGGCACCCAAATCCCACCAATCCCTGGTCTTGGCACCCAAAATTTGTCCAATCCATGAGTTGGGTGCCCAAAATTCATCCAATCCATAAGGTGGGCATCCAAAATTTGTCCAATCCATGAGTTGGGCGCCCAAATCCCACCAATCCCCGGACCTGGCACCCAAATCCCACCGGTCCCTGGTAAATCCCACCGGTCCCTGGTGTTGGCACCCAAAATTTGTCCAATCCCTGAGGTGGGCATCCAAAATTCGTCCAATCCCTGGGCCTGGCACCCAAATCCCACCAGTCCCTGGGCTTGGCACCCAAAATTTGTCCAATCCATGAGTTGGGTGCCCAAATCCCACTGATCCCCGGGCCTGGCACCCAAATCCCACCAGTCCCTGGGCTTCGCACCCAAAATTCATCCAATCCCTGAGGTGGGCATCCAAAATTCGTCCAATCCATGAGTTGGGCACCCAAATCCCACCAATCCCTGCGCTTGGCACCCAAAATTTGTCCAATCCCTGAGGTGGGCATCCAAAATTCGCCCAATCCATGAGTTGGGCACCCAAATCCCACCCATCCCTGGGTTTGGCACCCAAATCCCACCAATCCCTGGGCTTGGCACCCAAAATTTGTCCAA